CATTGTAATACCAAATTTCATTGTTTTAAATAGTATTAACCCTTTCAGGGTTTCGGCCTTACTAGTACAGCTTACGCACCAGGGTTTTTGACGTACTAGTACGCCTAAATTCTAGTGCCCTCAAATCTAGTGAGAGAAAGCTGGTAGGCCTACATATGAAAGAATGGGTCTATGTGGTCAGTGTGCGCGGTATAAAAAAAAACCCTGCAGCACACAGTGCGTAATGAGAGAGAAAAAAAACTTTGACCGTGTTTTTAGATTAAAACAGCGACTTTGCACTGTATTTTCGTATGGTATTTATTGTTGTATTCTAGTTTTCCTGGTCTCGTTTTATAGAATGGAAGACATATTACAGAAATTGAGATGGTTTTGACTGGTTTTACAAAGAAAAGTACCTTGAAACTGAGCTCAAAGTAGCAGAAATGTTCGATTTTTACCAAAGTTCAAAAGTAAACAAATTATGCTATGTGTTTAATACACGTCAACTGGTGAGTCTAATATTCTTTCACAAGTGCGTGCGTTGATATTATTTATACCATTTCTATACCAATGCAGTGGTCTACATAACAGTAAATCTTCTATTTTTTTGTGAGAATAAAAATTCAACGTGGAAAGCAAAAGAATGTAAGAGGGGCATGGGGACATGAATAATGAACAGAGGAAATGTTATTTTAGTGCCAGGAATGTCTTTGTTTATTCTGGACCCTATTCGGAAATTGGCATCTTTTGAAATTTGTGAAATTGGCAAAATTGCTAAATTCTGACCACTGTATTGGATAGTTGAAATCGGTAAATGGGTGGTTTCTTGTACTCATTCGCTAGAAAAAATGGAGTTCTAACGAAATAGTTATGATTTTTGTCGACAAGTACACTGGAATTGGCCGAAAATAGGGTTCAAAGTGGGCAAAATCGCCAATGCGTAAACATCGTCGAGACCGCTAACTTCGCGAGAGCATAATTCCGTAAGTTTTCCATCAAATTTCATACTCTTGGTGTCATTATGATCGGGAAAAGATTCTCTATCTTTTCATAATTTTTTTTTTTTTTTTTTTTTAAATTTGGGCGACCCTGAGAACAAGTCTCTGAGAGGGCCTGTCGACCCTGAAAGGGTTAAACTGTAATACTACATCATATTGTAAATACAGCGGACCCCCGGTTCACGATATTAATTCGTTCCTGAGAGCTCATCGTAAACCAAAATTATTGGAAAGCGAATCATTTTTCCCCATAAGAAATAATGGAAATCAAATTAATCCGTGCAAGACACCCAAAAGTATGAAAAAAAACTTTTACCACATGAAATATTATGTTTAATGCAATATAATAATTACAATAACAATAATAACAATAGAATAATCACAATAGAATAATTGACACTTACCTTTAATGAAGATCTGGTGATGATTGATGGGATGGGAGGAGGGGAGAGTGCCAAAGTTTTTAATGTTTAGAAGGGGAATCCCCCTCCATTAGGACTTGAGGTAGCAAGTCCTTTTCCAGGGTTACTTCCCTTCTTCTTTTAATGCCACTAGGACCAGCTTGAGAGTCACTGGACTTCTGTCGCACAACATATCTTGAATTCAACTCCTTGAATTCATGCACATATTTTTCAGCTGCTTTTTGGTTTGAACTGGCAGCCTCACCATGCCTGATCACACTATGTATGCCACTACAATTTTTAAATCTTTCAAACCAACCTTTGCTGGCCTTAAATTCACTCACATCACCACTAGTTGCAGGCATTTTTCTAATTAAATCCTCATACAACTGCCTAGCCTTTTCACAAATGATCGCTTGAGAGATGCTATCTCCTGCTATCTGTTTTTCATTTATCCACACAAATAACAGTCTCTCAACATTTTCTAACACTTGTGGTCGCTGTTTTGTAATCACAGTTGCACATTTTGCAAGAACAGCTTCCTTGATTGCCGTTTTCCTGCTCACTATAGTAGAGATGGTTGATTGGGGTTTACTGTACAACTTGGCCAGCTCCGACACACGCACTCCACTTTCATACTTTGCAATTACAGTGGACCCCCGGTTAACGATATTTTTTCACTCCAGAAGTATGTTCAGGTGCCAGTACTGACCGAATTTGTTCCCATAAGAAATATTGTGAAGTAGATTAGTCCATTTCAGACCCCCAAACATACATGTACAAATGCACTTACATAAATACACTTACATAATTGGTCGCATTCAGAGGTAATCGTTATGCGGGGGTCCACTGTATCTCTTTCTTCATTTCAGTAGTCATTAGCACCCTTGGTCTTGATGGGTTGGCACTAGAAGCTTTCTTGGGGCCCATGGTGACTTATTTTGCAGAAACAAGCACCAAAAACAGTGATAATATGGATAATATGGAAAGTACCGAATGTATCCTTAGATGCGCGCACACTGGCTGGCTTGTAAACACTGGCACACATGGGGCAGTTCAGGCCACACGTGGACATGTCTCGTATGAATCGTATCGCATACCTGGTTTTGTAACTGGAACCGAGGCAAATTTTTTTGTGATATAATGCTTCGGATACCGGATTTATCGGATACCGATGGCTTTGCGAACCGGGGGTCCGCTGTAGTTTTAAATTGTTACATTGTAATACTGTAATCTTTATTAACTAATTCAATAGTGTAATAAGTCTCTACTAGACTTATCAGAACCATGTAGCATTACCTGATAGAATATACAGTTCTACTGTACTCACTATAACTCATCTAATGACCATATGAACTATGTATTATTGCCGTACTAATCTTAAGTTAATCTCTAAGTTTGCCCGAAATGTTCTGCATACAAAGGAGCTTTTGGCATGTACACCCAACTGTTACAACCATGTAATTTGTCAAAATAAACATCTTTATCTTTCTTTAAAAGGCTTTTGGCATGTACACCCATAAGTCATTCTACTTTGTACAAATATACATCATGCTGAAATAAACTTATTCTTATTCAAAAAGTGCTTTGGTATAGAGTTTCTTGAGGTTAGAAATGACCTGCTGGTCCATGGGCTGGATGAGAGGAGTGGTGTTATTTTGCAAGAGCCTCTTTAAGGTTCCTTATGCCTAGTCACACTATGAATGCCACCTCTTTTCTTAAAATTATCAAACCAACCGCTACTAGCCTTGAAGGATTGAGTTTCAGCACTTTTTCCTTTTTTTTTTTTTCACTCTTGCCGTGTAACTGTTTTTCGTTTATCAAGATCAACAAGAGTTTTTCAACCTCAGTAATTTGTGACCTTTGCTTTGGTATCACTTCTGTGCCTTTTGCTTGAATTTTTTCCCTTTGGCCCAGTATTGTGCTAATGGTAGACTTGGTTTTACCAAAAATTTTACTATATCAACTATGCAGAGCCTATCTTCTTCATACTTTCTAATGACTTCTTTTTTAACCCTTTCAGGGTCCAAGGCCCAAATCTGAAGTGGTGCCCCAGTGTCCAAGAATTTTCAAAAAAAAAAATTGTTATTTTTTCTTGTGAAATGGTAGAGAATCTTTTTGTGAAGGTAATAAAACAAAAAGTACGAAATTTGATGGAAAATTGACGAAATTATGCTCTCGTGAATTTTGATGTGTAAGCGATATTTACGAATCAGCGATTTTGCCGACTTTAACTCCCATTTTAGGCCAATTACATTATTCCAGTCGACCAAATTCTTAGCTATTTCACTAGTATTACTTCTATTCTATCGATTGAGCACAAGAAATCGCCAAGTCAACCATTTCAACTACAAAATAAAGTGACTGGAAATTGGTAATTTGGCCAATTTAACACAAAGTTCAAAATATTCCAATTTCAAAATAGGGTCCAGAATAAACAATGTAGGTATTCCTGGCACTAAACTAACATTTCCTCTGTTCATTAGTTATGTTTTGAGGCTTTACAAATAAATTCCATTTTGAATTTTTATTCACATAATGAATTTTTATTCACACCAAAAAATAGAAGATTTACTGTTATGCAATATTGTAATAATTGTATAAATATCATCACCACATTTGTGAATGTATATTAGACCCATCAGCTGGCGTGTATAAGATGTGTGAGGTCGTTTGTTTACTCTTGAACATCGGCAAAAATTTAACATTTCCGCCACTTTGAGCTCAGTTTCAAGCCATTTCCAGTGTTAACACCAATCAAAATTATCTCTATTTCTGTGATATGTCTTCCATTCTATCAAATGAGACCAAGAAATCACAAATACAACTATAAAAAACATACGAAAAGACACTGCAAAGTCGCTGTTTTAATCGAAAATCACGGTCTCAGTTTTTTTTCTCTCATTATACACAGTGTGCTGCAGGATTTGTTTTATGTGGTGCACACATACCACATAGATGTATTCTGTCATATCTAGGCCCAAATTTACCACTCACAGTTTATCAGAGTGAGCTGAGCTCATGACGTAGATCTACGGTTTGGACCCTGAACGTAAAGCCGTAGATCTACAGGACGGACCCTGAAAGGGTTAAACTCAACAGTGCTTTTTACAACTTTTTGCTTTCATCTCTTTATCCTTCTTTGGACTCATGATGGCTTATCTCACAATAAAAACCTGCACCAAAACTGCAGAATAACAAAAAAAGTTCACAAAGGTGCACAACAAAAGCTCAAGAGATGTTTACAGCACACGAGTTAGTGAGCACGTAATCTGAACCATTCACGATGTTGGTTGACAACCAAGAGAACGTACAAAAACCAAAACATTTTTTCTCGAAGTCCCCATTTGAAAACCAATTTGTTCGACACGTAATGCAGTCGACAACCAAGGTTCCACTGTATTATTATTATTATTATTATTATTATTATTATTATTATTATCATTATCATTATTATTATTATTATCATTATCATTATCATTATTATCATTATTATTATTATTATTATTATTATTATTATTATTATTATAGCATGGTTTGCTGTAAAGATTGCTTTATTTTGCATTCATTTTTTTTACCATGCATTTCTTTAATTAACACTTATCATATATTTCTTCTTCAGGAAAACATAGGAGGGAACTGACTGGTCAACTTAAGGCTTGCTAGAAACTAAACTTTGCAAGATGAATCGACAAAGAGGTGCACGCTCCAATACAAATGTGCACTCCACAAGGAATGCGCACCCCACGAGGAATGTACACTCCACAAAGAATGCACACCCCACGAAGAATGCACACCCCACGAAGAATGCACACCCCACGAAAAATGCGCACTCCACAAAGAATGTGCACTCCACAAAGAATGTGCACTCTACAAAGAATGTGCACACCATGAAGAATGAGCACACTGTGAGAAGTGATCACCCTAGGAGGACTGAGCACACGGTAAGAAATGCATGGATCAGGACGACCGAAGGTGCCACAGAGAATGAACGCCCAAAGAAGACCGAGCACCCCCTGAAGACTGTACATGTCAAGACCATTAAACGCTCCACAGAGAATGAACATGTCAGAATGACTGAGCACCCAAAAAAGTACGAACATCCATTTAAGAGTGATCACACAAAGAAAAATGAACATTTGCACAGTAGTGTAAGAACCGTAAGGAATGATCATTCAAAGAATGAACATCCTAAAAGAAATATTCACTTAAAGAAGAATGAACACTCCACTGAGAAACACTACTCTAGAAAGAGTGAATGCTGTACAGAAAATGATAACATTGCAAAGAAAGCACACACTACCAAGAAACACCACTCCACAAAGAAAGAGCATAGCACAAAAAAAGAACATTCTACTAACAAAGAACACTCCACAAAGAAAGAACATGGCACAAAAAAAGAGCACTCCACAAAGAAAGAACATGGCACAAAGAAGGAACATGGCATAAACAAAGAACATGCTACAAAGAAAGAACGCTCCTCAAAGAAAGAACACTCCATAAAGAAAGAACACTCCACAAAGAAAGAGCACTCCACAAAGAAAGAGCACTCCACAAAGAAAGAACACTCCACAAGGAAAAAACACTCAAAAAAAGAACACTCCATGGATGAAGGACATCTCAAGAAAAAAGAAAAGTCCGATGGACATCACGACTTACTTCATTCATACTCAGGAGCTGGTAGCACAGGAGAAAGACCTGAAGATCCTGGTCATGTCAGTTCATTACAGCAGCACCATCATACAGCTGTCTTTCAGAAAAGTCAAGAGATTCAAGGGCATGATTTTGGTGGCCAACTTCACACCACTCACTGGCATAATCCTAGCCTCAGTCCTTCATCTTATAGTACAAACTGTGCACATTCATATGAGAACTTACAGTACCAAAGTCAGTTTGAAAATAGGATGACACCTGTTTACTTTGAGAAAAAGCAAACATCACACTACAAGAAACACTGGCATGCAGGTAATGTGGCTTCTCAGGTACCATTAGAAAACAATGCATATATGCAACACCAGATGCATAGGGACTTGGAGAATGTGATGTCTCAGTCAAAATTGAATCCGGAAGGGCTGGTAAAAGGTCTTGCTCTCTTTGGTGGACAATGGACCCACATTAATGTCCTTAGTAGACAACTTCAAAAGAGTACTGAGGAAATTGAAGAAGTAGCTCATTCTCGAGAAGATATATTCTGTAGTATTACAGAGTCCACTGGGATCGTAATTGAGCTTGCTCCTAAAGTGAGTTTGTGTTTAGGGTACTTGTCTGAAAAGGGTTGTCTGTTTCATGACTCATGCCAGGATCTTCACATTTGCAAACTTTATATGACAGGATTTTGTGACACAGGTTCATCATGCCAGTTTGGGCATCGACTAGATACTCATCACAACAGCTCTGTACTTTCAAAGTTGTATTTAGACTCAGTTAATTGGTATGTCTTGTACAAAGTGATTAAGAAAGTTTGCAAAGGCAGTGCATCACCTCAAATATGTTTCTTCTATAATAGCCAGAGAGGATGCAGGGAAAATGAAAAGTGTAGAAGATTTCATATTTGCAAAGATTATGTTATGAACAACGAGAAATGCTCATTAGCACCTTGTTCCCTTAACCATACTATTTACAGCAACCACTGTAAAAGACTACTTGACCTCTATTCCATATCTACAAATGAAAACCCACATGATATTATTTTGAAGTTAAAGTTATCCAGCCAGAATCAGTATGATAAGTCATGCAGCAGAAGAGATAATGAGGTGGAGGATTCAGATGTCAGCAGTAGTGAGAATGAAGATAGTGATGAAGAGTATTCATCACGAACTAGTGCATCAGATAGTGATGATAGCACTGATGAAAGCAGTGAAGAAAGCTATTCATCACAATCTGAGGCATCAGATGATAGTGAGGATGAAGGTAGTGAAGAAGACTGTTCATCAGATGGCAGTGTTAACAGTGAAGCTGAGCAAAATGAGGAAAACTATTCATCAGGAGGCAGAAAATCAGATAATACTAACAATGAAGCTGAAGATACTGTGAAACACTACTCTTCAGAATCTAGAAAATCAGATGGCTCTCCTATTGAAGCCAAAGATAGCGAGGAAAAATATTTACCAAGTAAAGGCAGCAGAGATGAACCATTGGCCTCCCATCAGGAAGTATCTTCATTTGACCTAGACCAGCAATCTCTTCCCTCTACCTGGAGTGAAATGAAACCCAAACAAACCCATGTTCTTGAGATTGTGCCCATTGGTACCAAAGAATACCAGAAAGTTGCTAGTCGTGTGCTGTTGTCCCAGCCCTCTGTGAATATACATAAAATTCAGAGATTGCAAAATCCATATTTATGGAACCTCTTACAAAGCAGAAAAGCTGATTTATCTAAAAGGTAATACTTTTGTAAATTTTTATTCTTAAGTTTCATTGATCAGGAAGTAGAAAACTTTTAAACTGCCTAGGCAAACTGAATTTGTTATCCATTCTTATTTGCTTCATTGTGCAAATACAATACAATATATGCTCTTTTATTGTACTTGTAACACAAGAGTAATAACTTTTCTTCAGTAATCCTTAAACATTTAGAGATTGCTAAATAGTATAAGGAAAGAAATTTCATCAAATACAAGATGATAAATGGTTTGCAGACTGATTTTTAAATATACAGTAAGTCATTTTTATATTCTAACTAGAGATTGACTTGTACAATTTTATTTTTACTTTGAACAGGTATAATGAAACTCAATTGAATGTTCAGAAACTCTTCCATGGAGTAGATCCTATGGAAATCGACAGCATATGCAAAAATAACATTGAATGGCGACTGAGCATGCCTACTGTGCAAATGTTTGGAAAAGGTGCATACTTCTCTAATAGGTAAGATTCTACATGACTTTACATCACTCTTCTCTTGTGTTATTTACTGCCCCCTTAAGATTTTATATTAAAATATTAAGTTTTAGCCCAGAGACCTTTAAACCTATAGTCACATATTCAGTCAAACCCTCCTGATCAAACCTTGAAAATTCTGAATACCCTGAAAATCCAAGACAAACCTCCATTGCTGATTCTTTTCACAAATTGATGGGTCTTCAGCATTCTACAGAAGAAGAGAGTTAACCCTTTCAGGGTTGGCAGACCCTCTCCTAAACTTGATCTCAGGGTCGGAAATCTTTCGAAAAAAAAAATGTTCTTATGAAATGATAGAGAATATTTTCTCGATCATAATGACACCAAAAATATGAAATTTGATGGAAAACTTACAGAACTATGCTCTCACGAAGTTAGTGATCTCAACAATGTTTATGCAGAGGCGATTTCGCCCGATTTAAGCCCTATTTTCAGCCAATTCCAATGTACCAGTCGACAAAAGTCATAACTACTTCACTAGAACTCCATTTTTTCTCTCAAATGAGTACAAGAAACCACCCATTTACCAATTTCGACTATCCAATAAAGTGGTCAGAAATTGGCAATTTTTGCCAATTTCACACAAATTTCAAAAGATGCCAATTTCCAAATAGGGTCCAGAATAAACAAGACAGGCATTCCCGGCACTAAAATAAAAAAAAATTCTGTTCATTAGTCACATCCCCAGGCCTCTCTTTACATTTCTTTTGCTTTCCACTTTGAATTTTTATTCTCACAAAAAATAGAAGATTTACTGTTATGCAGACTACTGCATTAGTGTAGAATTGGTATACATAATATCAGCGCACTTGTAAAAGAATATTAGACTCACCAGTTGACGTGTATTGGACGCGTGGCATGATTTGTTTACTTTTGAACTTCGGCAAAAATAGAATATTTCTGCTACTTTGAGCTCAATTTCAAGGTATTTTTCATTGTGAAACCAATCAAAATCATCTCAATTTCTGTAATGTATTTTCCATTCTATAAAATGAGACCAGGAAAACTAGAATACAACAATAAATAGCATATGAAAATGCACTGCAAAATCACTGTCTTAAAGCAAAAACACGGTCGGAGTTTTTTTCTCATTATGCACTGTGTGGTGCAGGATTTTTTTTTGTACTGCGCACACTGACCACATAGACCCATTCTTTCATATGTAGGCCTACCAGCTTACTCTCGCTAGATTTGAAGGCGCTAGAATTTATGCGTACTAGTACAGCACCAACCCTGGCTTACAAGCCGTACTAGTACGGCACCAACCCTGAAAGGGTTAATGTATGCTATTGGTGGCAGTGATAAGCAAGTTGCAGGTGTTAAAGCTGTAAAAAAAAAAAGCATTGAATTTTGATATTACAGTTGAACGGAAAAGGAAGAGTTGTAAAGAAAAATTTATAAGCAATAAATAAATTTGAGAGTGGAATAAGTATTTTGTTTAATCAGTGGCCTTGTTATCATAACAAATTTACATCAGTGCTGTTATTACCGTATTAACTCTTTTGCTATCGAGATCCCTGATCACAAACTTGCTCTCACTGTTGAAAAATATTGAAAAAAAATCATTTTTTCTTACCAAAATCTTAAGAATATTTTTCTACGTGTTTTAAAGGAAAAATTTTTTTTGCGATCAGTACTTACCGAGATATAGAGGCATGAAATTGACAGAAAGTGAACCTTTGATGGCAACATTGGTGACTGCTGCTCACTCGGTAATATTATTTTTACTTTTATTCTATTTTTTTCTTTTTCTAATATTTATTTTTTCAAGTAACTTTATATATCCACTCGTTGGCACCGATTGGCACCCAGCTGCCAATCCCAGATGCGGTCTGCTGGTGGGTACTGGATATTGACAGGTAGTTGTGGTTGTGCACATTGTCGTGGTGTGTGGGTAGTTGATGGTGGCCTTTATTGTGTAGATGCTGAATCAGCAGCGTGGCTACCATCCTGGGGTGCCGATGATTCCACATGACACATTGCACCACCACCACCTGCTGCAGCATGTATATTATCCATCCCAATTGTAACATTACTCATTACCTATACCGTCTTCCCCACCACCCACACTGTCTTCTCTTTTCACTCTCTGTATCTGGTATCCTGGGCATTGCTTTCGGTCACAAACTCGTCAAAACCATGAAATTCATCTTCACTGACACTTCCATCTGTGTTAGAACTATCACTTGGGAAGAGAGGAGTCCCTCTCTTCCCTATTTCTATGGCCTTCCCAAAACTCATTAACCTGATATTCCTCTATATCCTATCATATCCTCTAGAGATTCTGTCTCTTATTCTCTTGCTTCTTGGTTGGCCAAAACCCTCACTCCTTTTCTTGGTACTTTTTCTCCTGCCCACCTCCGTCACTCTCAAGACTTCATTGAACGGGTTTGCTCTCTCCCGACCTGTAAGATGCTTAGTCTTGACGTTGAGTCCCTCTTCACCAATGTCCCTCTTGATGAAGTCCTTGATTTTCTTAGAGAGAAGTCCCATGAAGGGTGTCTTCATCTCCCTATACCTATTGATGTCTTTCTTGATCTTATCCGCCTCTGTGTGGACTCTAATTCCTTTTCCTTCCAAGGGAAATATTATTCTCCAACCTTCGGTGTTGCTATGGGCTCTCCTCTCTCTCCTGTCCTTGCTAATCTTTACATGGAATACTTCGAGACTATTCTTCTTCCTACCATCGATGTGCGCCCTTCACTCTGGCTCCGCTATGTGGATGACGTCTTTGCTCTGTGGCCTCATGACTCCAGTCTCTTCCAACCTTTTCTTGAAGCTCTTAATAATCTTGCCCCTTCCATTAAGTTTAAAGCTGAATGGGAATCTAATTCCTTGCTTCCTTTCCTTGATGTCCATGTCCACCGCTCAGATACAGGTTTTTCCTTTTCCGTTTACCGCAAACCTATGCACAGTGGCATGTACATTCACTACTTTTCCTATCATGCTTCCCCTGTCAAGAAAAGTGTTCTTATCTCCCTCTTTCTCCATGCCCTCCGCATCTGTGATCCTCAGTTCCTTCCAGCAGAAATTTCCACTCTTCATAATTTGTTTTCTCGTCTTGGCTACCCTTCCCATTTCCTAGACTCTGCCCTCTCACGTGCTAAACGTAATTTCTTCTTTCCCAAACTCTCTACTCCTGTGAACTCTTGTGTCCTCTGCCTTCCCTACATTTCCGGTCTTTCTAATCTCAACAATTCTCTCCGTCCCTTAGACATCAAGCTTACTTTCCGCCAGACTAACACTCTTCGCACTAATCTCGTTCATACTTCTCCTCCCTCTACAGATGTTCCTGGTGTCTACTCTATTTCTTGCTCCTCCTGTCCTCTTCAATACTTTGGAGAAACTGGTTGATCTCTTTCTGACAGACTTAGGGAGTACAAAAATACTGTTAGGCTTGCCGACACTAATAATGCTCTTTTCTGTCACGTCAGAGACCACAGCCATCCTATTGACTGGTCTTCTGCTAAAACTGTCTTCCCTACTTCCAACTTTAACAGTCGCCGTCTGGTTGAATCCTCCCTAACACACAACTTTCCTTGTATGAATCTTAGTCCTGACTTCGTCTCGGTAGATGCCTTCCTCTCCCACTACATTGTAAAATGCTCCAAACTTCAGAACACCCATGACTTAACCTGATTACTCCATTTTTCTTCTTCTCCCTCTTCCCCTTTCCTCTTTCCCTTTTTCTTTTCTCTTCTGGTTTGTCTTTCTTTCTTCTGTCTTGTGTTTCTGTTCCTTCATTATTTATTTCATTACTTCCCCTCCTCCCCACCTCTGTGTTTTTGCTCTCCCTCTGTGGGCACCTAGCTCCCTTGCAGTGCTCCCCTTTCTTCTTCTTCTACTACTACTACTACTACTACTACTACTACTACTACTACTACTACTACTACTACTACTACTACTACTACTATTACTATTACTACTATTACTACTACTACTACTACTATTACTACTATTACTACTATTACTACTACTACTACTACTACTACTACTACTACTACTACTACTACTACTACTACTACTATTACTACTACTATACTACTTATACTACTATTACTACTTACTACTACTACTTACTATTACTACTTTACTATTATACTACTACTACTACTATTTTACTCTATTATTCTATCTATTCTTCTTTTCTTACTCTTTTCTTCTACTATTTTCTCTTCTTTCTCTTTCTTTTTTCTTCTTTCTTCTTTCTTCTTTTTCTTCTTCTTTTTCTTCTTCTTTTTCTTCTTTTTCTTTTTTCTTCTTTTTCTTCTTTTTCTTCTTTTCTTTTTCTTTTTTCTTTTTTTCTTTCTTTTTTCTTCTTCTTCTTTTCTTCTTCTTTTTCTTCTTCTTTTTCTTCTTTTTCTTCTTCTTTTTCTTCTTCTTTTTCTTCTTTTCTTCTTTCTTTTTCTTCTTCTTTTTCTCTTCTTTTTCTTTTCTTTTTCTTCTTTTTCTTCTTTTTTTTCTTCTTTTTCTTCTTCTTTTTTCTTCTTTTCTTTTCTTCTTTTTTTCTTTTTCTTCTTCTTTTTCTTCTTTTTTTCTTCTTTTTTCTTTCTTCTCTTTTTTTCTTTTTCTTCTTCTTTTTCTTCTTCTTCTTTCTTCTTTTCTTCTTTTTTCTTCTTTTTCTTTTTTCTTCTTTTTTCCTTCTTTTTTCTTCTTTTCTTTTTCTTCTTCTTTTTTTTCTTCTTTTCTCTTTTCTTTTTCTTCTTCTTTTTTCTTCTTTTTCTTCTTCTTTTTCTTCTTCTTTCTTCTTTTTCTTCTTCTTTTTCTTTTTTCTTTTTTTTTCTTCTTTTTCTTCTTCTTTTTCTTCTTTTCTTTTTCTTCTTCTTTTTCTTCTTCTTTTCTTCTTTTTTTCTTCTTTTTCTTTTTCTTCTTCTTCTTTTTCTTCTTCTTTTTCTTCTTCTTTTTCTTCTTCTTTTTCTTCTTCTTTTTCTTCTTTTTTTTCTTCTTTTTCTTTTTCTTCTTTTTCT